GGGAGATAATTTTAAAGAATGTAAATTGGTTAAATGATTTATACTATTAACATTTATTTATAGCGAGGAATTTATTTATTTGTTTGGGGTATGGTTGGAGTCTCGCGAATCAGAATTCGCGACACACGAGAGTTTCCAAGTAATTTCTGCTAGCTTTGCTGCTGCCCAAGTTATGTTTATTTTGGTATGGTACGCATTTTATGGAAACAGTCTTCGCTAATTCTCCTATTATCATTATTCCTGCTATGCTTACCTATCGCCAGTTATGCAACATTCTTAACACATATTCATGGCAGGTTTGTTTTAATCTCATATCAAACTCCTTACTCGAAGATCATGAACGAGCGTATTTTCCAGTTTTTAAGGAAATGTCGCTTTTTAAATCAGCTCAAAGTTCAGCTTAATGGAAATTTGAAGATTCAAAAGAAGGGATAAACGAGAGTTCATGAAAATGCCGCCATTCGCAAACAGTAAAACTAACTTCATCACTTCACAATTGGGAATTTCCTCAGTTGTTGTACGAAAATACTGTTGGAAAAAATCCTTTGCGATATCTTTTACACTTTTTACAGATTATTCTGACACTGATCCATCTTCACTAGTTGCAAGAGAATTGAAACTGATCCATTTAACGAAACAAGGAAGCAACAACTTAACGGAACTACTTTTTGTCTCCAGTCCAGTGCCTCCTACTAATTTATGATAGCCTTCCAGTGGAAAGTAATATCAAAAAACGTACCAAAATTTCCGATCAATTTACATATCCTTTGCTCTATAAAATTTTAACTTTCCCTGGAACTCAGAATTAACTTCCATCTTGTATCCTCAAGTCCCACTAAAAAATCCTTAATATTCTGACAAATATTTTTAAAATTTGAAAAGTTTCAATTTGAAAAGTAAAAAGATCCTAAAAATTTTCCTGGAGCTCTTTAAAAATTATTTCCAACAAAGTCTATATACATGCTAATCAAATTCTGTTCATGCATTTCATTAATATCCAACAAAATTATCAGTCATTTCGTTTTTCCTACAAGCAGTAAGCGCGAGTATCACGTATCTCAATAATAAAAATTATTGTCACAGCCATCATTGGGTTATGATTTCGAAAGCAATATGCGCGAAATATTTGATTGTCAAATGTCAAGATAAAATGTCAAGAGCTCGGTAAGATAAAAGGCGTAGTAAAGGTTAGAAATGGCGAGGCGAACAGCAGCTACTTTATAGTTTTATAGCTGTGCCCATCGCTAATATTTCTGGTTACAAATGAATGTTTCATAATTCGAATTAATTTATACAGACAGCGGTAACACATGAATAATAGTAGGACAGTTACAATAATAGCATTAGCACTAATAACGGCAACAGTCACCAACAATGGTATTAATGGCACTCACAAGGAAGGCTATTTATAACTCGAAAACTAGTGACAAGTTGAATTAAGCCATTAGAATTGGGAAGCATTATAATTTATAGCAAAATACCACTTTCGAATCAGTAATTTGTTCTCTTAAAGTTTTGCAACCAGACTTTCTGATTTTACTGCTCAGATTCAATCCTTTATCATGAACTTAAATATACCCTAGCTTGCCGGTTGTAGAGGCTGAAGGTTTCTTGTAATTTAATTGCAAGGTACCAAAAATCAGATGGCATTCTGCCCTTTACCCGCTTTCTAGGTATGTTCACAAGAGTGGGGTACGTGAAGTACCATAAAGTTCTGCTAACTCTCAGTGACTTGATGCTATCCGACTTTGATTCCTATCTGATTACTATCTAATACTATTGGTATTCTCTGTACCTCAGCATGTGATGTCTGTATCAGTTTAATATTTTCCAAACATTCACCTTCGGCTATTTCAAGTGGTTGCCCTTGATCAGCAACGATTTCTACGTTGTCCTGAAAAGATGATCTAAGGGTTGACTGTTTTCTCTAATCTAAAAAAAAATTTATAAATCACTATCAGCTGCGTACAAATTACAACAAAAAAAAAGTACAAAGACAAGTAAGGTTTCAGTTAGTTTGTTCTAATTTGTTGCTTTTCTAAAATTAAATTTTAAAAATACAAATTTGCAAAATTAAGGAAAAACCAAAAACATTAATGCCACACTAATACGTGCTTTAAAAAAACATTGATAATTGATAATTTAAAGCATTAATCTGTTGCTTTAAAAATGTTAAGAATGAGACTGTCCGGGATCAGGACCTTCTGAAACAGACTCACAATTATCCCGGCTATTGGCGACTAAGATCATCTAGCCGTCCCAGATAATATGTGAAATAACAGTCTCGGTTTGCATATTTAGTCCTACAATTGTTGCACAGCGATAGCCTACCCGAGTGAGATTTGCCATGGGTGTTTTCAAAAGTAAATAGCGGTTAAGATAAATGAAGCCATTTGATTGTTTGAAACGACTGGCACGATAGATGTCAGCACTACTACACTTGCATCTCACACCTTAGAGAAATTGCACAGCAAACGATTAAAGAAGACTTACTTTCAGCACCACGTGGCGTCCGAAATATATGTCACCCTTAACTTTTAGCCATTTTAACTGTCGTAACCGTGGAATATCACGAAAACGTTTTCGAAATTCGGAAACCTTGCTGAAATGTCTCGACAGCTCTATGATTGGTGCTTTGTCCTTTCTAACAAACTGCAGCGAAAAGTTCTCCGTGACTTCGTATAAATCACTCATAATAGCAAGTAGATCCTGGGTATTCTTAACAGGAAGGAAGCGAGAGCGGGGCACTTGAAGACCTGAGAAAGTCTTTAGTTCATTATGTGAAAGCAAAGTTTCACTCCATTAATTTCATCATTGGTAATAGTGTACTTAAATCACGCATATCACTCTAAGCTGTAATAAACCACGGAAAATGTCCCTGAGGATATTACTGCACATGTAGGATTTAGAGCAAGAGATAATGTGGAGTCACTTTGATCAGATACAAATACTAGAGGTTACATAAATTCGTTCAAGAAAGTACAATGTCGAAAAAACTGCAAAGCTTGTTCTTGTCGAGCAAGAACAGCATATCTACTTCATATTTGCTATATTTGTAATGGACGTGGGATCAAAAGGAAAAAATGATCTGCTATTAGACTGGACTCCAGAACTGCAGATGATTTCAATTGCAATAAAAAATAACGAAAGAGTTGTATACGTACTCAACACCTTGTCGAAATTTCGAATGGCACCACCTACTGATGTTTCCAGTTGATTGACAAACATACCGTTACTGAGAACCTGCAAACAACACAAGCTTTACTGCTGATGACAATGGAAAACAGCTCACTTCAACATTAATCATAAGGATAACTTGGTCACTGTGTACCTTGGTAATTCCCAGCCAACAATATCGCCTTAAAGAGACATATAGGTATCACCAATTCATTCCATGTATGCATAGGTCTTCTCGACCCTAGCTGGTCAGTATGTGATAGCTTTCCAGCTTTCCCGAAGCTTTCGGCAAACATGCAGCATAGTGTTTCAACTGTATATAATCATTGACAATTCCACGCGCAAGAATAAGGCGGGGTAAAATTGGGTAGGGAACTTAGGCCTCATTTCTCATTTCATGACCTCCTTGCAAAAGTTTTGTTTAGCTTCCTAAATCTAAGTAATATCCAGCTGCCGTGGAAGGATAAACATGAGAAATGAATGATTCTTCTAACATTTAGTATAAATTCGCAAAAAAAAACCGCGGACCCAGTAGAATTTTGTTCAACATTAAGAGAGGAACTGGAAAAAATCCCCGAAACCTTTTTGTTGACAATAATTTCCATTTTCATTTCACCAAGTTTCTTTTTGACGGCACGCAGATTAACCCAAATATTGTTGGTATTGAAAATCCTGAAACTTACCAAAGATTTGATTCAGGGATGTCTCGACTTATGATATTTTTTATAACAGAATGGAAGGAGTGAACAAAATAAAAAGATGTAAACTGAAAAAAGTGAGAAAGTAATTTAAATCAAGGTGATAGTTAATAAATTAGTGGAAAATTTTATGTGCAAATACTTGAAAATGTTCGTTGAACAGAAGTCATCAATACGATCATTAGGCACTTGTGGCATCTCCAAATGCATGATATATCCATTTATTTCAACCAAAGTGCCTCCCTAAAAAAGAAAGTTTGAGATATTAACACGTGGTTTATAACTAATAAGTCAACTTCTACATATCGCAAAAATCATAAGGTAGTTTAAATCAATCGCTATTTAACGTTTCCGATCAAAAAAAGGAACTCTCAAAGGTAGACAAAAGATAAACCTTTCTATCTACTTCCGTTTTTTCGGTGCATTCCATGATATATTCCAAATCACTTTCTACCATTAGTTTAGCAATTCGCAAATCAATTGTTGCACCAGTATTATCAATATTTGAGATGAAACATATGTCACGTCCATGAGCAAGCAACTCATCCAAAACACCCGTAAACTGCATCGATTCGAAAATATTCCCATGACCTGGTGGATACCAGCTGAAAATGCTAAGCTATAAAGAATCAGTTAGCTGTATTTATCAAAATTTAGCAGTCAAATAACTTAGTTTAATTTTTCGCTCATAATAAATCCTCATAACTAATTAAATGAATGTCAAGGCTTCAGTATGGAAAGTTCAAAAAATCTAATAAACGAAAAAAAGTGCCACTTTAGTTCTTAATAAATGGTTTGTTTGTTTTCTTACTGAAACAATCCCAACTTCTTACTTATTTGCATGTTGTAACTTGTTCAGTTTTTTTCAGTACAACTGGAGTGAAATTTTAAACGTGCAAAATCATTTACTGATTGATGTAGTCCAAATTTTTTAATGGTAGACGCAAATGATACCTGAAGTGTTAATTATGAAGCGTAAAGTATTAAAATACGAAATGAGATTTTGTTTGTTAATCACTATCTTTCGTCTCCAGTAGGAAGGACTGATAAATGGATGAGAAGTATCAATAAAACAATCTCTTACCCTTCAATATTTTCACCTCCATCAATCAAAGGAACGGGCATTGAATTTTCCACAAAAATCCTCGGACATTTGCTTTGCAGGAATGTTCTTATATTTACCTTGCGATCAGCCAAATATTCGCAGACTGTTTGGTCAGTATTGAAACTATTCATTAAAACTAATGGTACCGAACTGTTGCTCCGTTCATTAAAACGCTGCAAAAAATTAAACTGAACGATAGCTTCCTTTAAAGCAAGAACTCTTGAGAAAACGACAAAATTAAAGTCAGTAACCAAAGACAACAGTTGGATTTTATTTGTATACAAATCGGAAGAGAATCTAAATTTGGAAATCATACCCAAAATTTCATTAAATTCTTTGATTGCGATTTAATGAACTGTATATTTAAAATTTCAAACTTCAGTTAAATTCCCCTTTCAAGTTGTGTTGACACAAATTATAAGATCTAGCTGGTCATCTTTCAAAAAATCCTGTCAAACTTTTTTGATTGGTGTTTCTGTGTGGTTGAAATGATAACCTGCACATGACCAATGGCAAAATCAAGGAATGTGAGTCCTCTGCGCAATTCGATTAATGACTTTGGACCATCACAACCCATCGTTGTTCCCAAGCCCCCATTTAGTTTCACAACTGAGAGGCGTTTCACAATCTCGTTTCGTTCTTCCTTCCCCGAACAGTACGGCAGTGATTCATAATCTTTTTGAAATTTCAAACTTAATGGTTTCATCCTAGTCCAATCGATAGTATTGGGTTCACTGAGATATTGTTCAAACAAAGATAAGAATACTTCTGCATCGAATTGGGTGCGCTGTAAATAAAAATGTGAAAGACTTTAAAAATAGACCAGAATTTTTGGAAGATGAAGTGTAAATAACGTACTTCATTGTTAACAAAAGCCTGCTTGAACCGTTCGCCAACATTTTTGAATAATTTTTGAGTTTCATCACTCCAGCACTGATCCATTTCTCGGGAAGACATATTATACGCTATAAACTGTTTGGGTAGTGAAAATAACTTCGAAAAAAACTTCAAACAAAGTGAAAGAAAACACTCAAATTCTTGACGAAAGTTTGGCAGGATAGTTTCGGAAAAGAGATGAAAGGAGGAGAGTGTGTAAGGTCATCGAATACACTGACACTAAAGACCGTGGCACTTGTCACGAGTATAAACAGCTACATGGTAAATCGTCGTGTCGCCCTGTCAACTTCGTCTTCTACTGGAAAACCCTTCCCTCTGTATCATATTCGTTAGCCATTTTCGAATGAAGAGACCTGTGGAAAACTCTTCATCAAAAGCTTAATAATCCTACCAAAAAAAAAAAAGAAGACTGGCCTAAGAGGAGAAATTAAAACGATGAAGAACGTGTATAATTGAAATCTCTACTGCTCAAGAGGATCAGAGCTTCTTAAGAAGCCCATAAAATATTCCCAACATTGGCACTCACACCTATATATCTCCAACTGCATATGTATGTGTCCTCGAACACACATGACCAAATTAATCGCAAGTGTTTGACGGGCATATATCTCCGACCAGGATTAGCCCTAACTGAAGCTAAGTGCAATACAGTTAGTATGGCGAATCAAAATTATAAAAACAACTTTTCTAGGGAATGTTTTGCAGCCAAAGCGATTACCAGATTTTCTTTTCGGATTTTAATATCAGCATCACATAACATGACAAATCATCAACAGGGAATATATCAGTAAAAAAGTAATCTGCTATAATCAATTCGATGGTTATTGTAGCTGATTATAAAAAAGAAAAAACTAGGAATTTGGACTACATTTAGATTCGAGCAAACAGTAGATTATTTCTTGAAAAAATTACATGAAATTTTCACTATTCGAAAAACAGATAAATCAAAGCCAATCCTCATTCTTTCTTGATTTATACTGAGGCACCAAAAAACAACACACAGCATAAAAAAATCTCACCAAGGTATCTCGTAAAATGATGGTATAGCTTACAGGACAGTATTACAATGAATAAACTTAACAGCCTAAAATTGTATTTTCTCAATGCTTCCTAAAAAAATTTAAAATATCTATGGCTCTAACTTTGAATGGGACTGACAACAAAAATAACCAAATGTTGTTAGTCCATTTTACATGAATGAATCACCGGACGCAATTTTCACTGCAAAACATGTTGAGAACCGCCTTCTTTGAATCAAGCAGCTCTTTGGCCCACTCGAGATCAATCACTGTGATATCACTAAATGAAATTTAAATGAAAACAAGAACTGCTGTCAGGATAAGGAACTTGTGAACATTTTTAAAAAATTTTGTGGAAAAAATTTTTAAAAAGAAAATGGGAAAAAACCGGAAGAAACAGATGCCAAACTACTCAGTTCTTATTCTTAGAGAACAGACATAAAGCAATTTTGAAACACTATTCCAATAATAATTTTCATCAAGCCATAAAGAACAAATAAAAAACTTACCGAGCGTATAACTCATTTGTCCGAACGAGATCTGTGAAAATAAAAGCCGACGGTCGCGAACGAGACAAACAAGAGGAAGGATGGATTTTAAGTGAAGTTCCAGGTGATATTAATAAATTGTAACGGTCCTGTGATCGATCATAAGTACAAGCATTCATGAAAAGGCCCTGACAAAGCGTCCTTCTGAAAGATTAGTATTACTCAGCAAAACCATGCTTGACTGAATTTTTTGTCTTACTCAGTTCTTTTCTTCATTCCTTCCCTGTTCTCTTCCCCCTGATGTTATTTATATTTTCAGAACTTTCACTTCATCTATCTTTTCCTCTTCATCTTTTTTGAAAACAAAAAGTTTTTTCGGCAACCAATTAACTAGTGCATTTATCTTTTCCCTTCCTCAACCCAATCATCACCTGAGCTTGTCTGTATCAGCACCACACGAACGAAAAACCAGTGAATTTTTTGAGCAAATATCGCGTAGCTGTCTTCGAATTTTGAAAACAGTATTAAGTAGTCGTTGGTGAACATGATTTGCTTCACACCATTCCTTAATAAGTATTCAAAAATACACTTTCGGAATGATAATAGAAAGAAGCAAAATAACACAAGATACGATCTGGAAGATATATACAATCAAATTATACTTCTGTTTCTATTAAGATGTCGATACTTTTTGTTTCTAAAATTTCAGTCCAAATCTTAAAGATGTGATTACATTTAAGATATTGGAGAAATAACATGTCAAGTCTAACAACCAGGAAAAACGCTCCGATTAAAAAACGGATCTAAATGGTAAATGGATCTAAAAACCTAAACCGAATTTCGAAAAGTATAAAAAATAAACTTATAAACTTATACTATGATGAAGTGAAGAGCTGAAGCGAGCCAACTGAAAAACGCACAAAGACAGAGAATATAAATAAATCAAAAAAAAAAAAAAACTATGAGAATGTACAAATTACCTCTAACTTCTTCTCTTTTCGAGCTAAACGAAATCCTCGATAAACATTTAGTAGGGTACAGTGGTCACCTTCGGGTGCTTCGAATTTACGCTTTGACAAATTTGTTTGTTCACGACCCATTGTTGAACTAACGAAAACGGTATCAGTAGACATAAATGCTACGATTGTTAGAACTTCTTCTAAACACTCATTCTGCGAAGCTGCTATCAGAGCACTGCAATTCAATAACACTAAGCTCTGAAACATGGGAAAAAAATGGAAGGACAGCGAATTTCGAAAGGTATTAACAAATTTTAAAAACTCCAGTGATTAAATCATTTACCGAGCAAAAGCTGGATCAACCGGAAACGATGATAACTTTGTACCCATTTCAGTAAGTCGCAATCTGCCTTTTTTATCAGGTCTCTTCACCGCATCCAGTAAGCGAAGATGTTTTTCAGCAGCTTCCAGTCCTTCCTTTCTTGGATTTGATATCAAAGCCAGCGATTTTATTCGTCGTAAACCAATACGCAATAATTCAAGCAGTACCTGGAATAAACAAGATGGTGCAAACTACATATCTAAATCTCAATTCATGTAAAGGTTCAGTCTTCCGTTCTAAACATTAAATCTTGTCCGATATTAAGAAATGAAAAAAATTAAAGCGAAAGATTAACACTCCTCATGAAATAACTGGATTTAGATTTCAAGTTTTTAGCCCTTCTATCACTCGAAGTGCTCCACTGATTTGGAACATTTTGTTACAAAAAACGATTCAAACTTTGATTCAACTGTGAAAATAAATATTGAAAAGCAAAAACTGTTCAGAAGTCCTGAAAAACGTTTTTTTGCTAAATTTTACCACTGCTAAATTGGATCGTAAAATTTCTGGAATTGTCACTTTGGATAGTGAATGGAAATGTTTTTCCGAATACAGTCGATAGCATTTGCCGGGTGCTTCACGTCCAGCACGACCAGCTCGCTGCGTTGCTGAGCACTGTGAAATATTTTCCACACGAAGAATATCGATATGACGATCCGGAAGAAAGGTTCTAAACAGATCTGACAAGTCTTTAGAAAAATTTATCTTGAATGAATTCTGGAAATAAACAAAGGATTCAGTTGGATTTAAACCAGGTAATTCACGAACATTCAGAATTAGAAGAAAACTGAATTAAATCCTTAGTTCGGGATTTGAATTGAGCTTTAGTAAAATGTATACATCGATAAACTGCTCAATGATGCTATTATTTTTCCTCTAACTGCATGCACTGATCTTCAAACATTAAATAATAACGCAATATGTCTTAATCAAAAATAATATTTTTGTTCCAAGCAAACAAAAAAGGGTCAGGCCTCAGCCAGGGCTTACTTTACTTTTATTTTTCCACTGTCAACAATAATCCGCACACCGGGTATAGTAATGGATGTTTCCGCTATATTCGTTGCGAAAATAATTTTTCGTGTATACTGAAAGCAGAAAATAAATTTCAACAACTTCAATTCCCTTTAGAGAGCTGATTCAATTCCCATCACTCTACCCAATAACGGAATGAGCTATTTAAAATGCTGATATAATAACTTAGCGTATGGTAGTCAGCAATATAAGTGGAATCAAGATACATGAATAAAAACATTAAAGAAACTGTAAACGACTATAAAATAACTGCAATCAGCCATGATATCAAAATTAATTTAAAGCACCGTCTCAAATTCCCTAGTTATGCCGCGTTCAAAGAAATCCAAATTAGCTAACAAATTTTAATGACCTAAAAACCTTACTGGTACACTAGCTGGTTCAAAAACCCGCATCTGTGCCGATGGAGGAAGACCGGCATACAGTGGAAGGGCTATCAAACCACCGGTCAGAAGTTTCGAAGCTTCCTGCACTTTCTTGCAAGCTGTTTCAATTTCTTCCTGTCCAGTTAAAAATGCTAACACATCAGAGCTGAAAACAAGAATGTATTCAATAAAATTTAGAACTTAAAATTAAATAGCGAAGAGAAGCAAAAAGAAAGCATAACGGATTTCATATAAAGTACCAACACAAATCAGTCTTGGCTTTGATGAAAAAATTAACTGACACAACTGGATTTTCAAGAAATCATTTGCGAAAAGAATTCACCTCAGCGGTTCAGTACGGTGAATTTGCAAAACCGCTGTCAAAACATTGAATACATAATCATCATCTTTTTTATCCAGTGAATTTGCATAAAAAATCTACAAAAAAGTGCACTTAACATATGCAAAATAGTGAAGAGTTTCCTCTTAACCAATTTTATGGATTTATTTTATTCATAATAGAAACTGGATTTGATATAATATCCGATATTCTCTATACGCAACGACTATTGCTCAATCAACTCCAATATATCTCGAAAGTAGTAGATTTAATTTGTACATGCTGCAGGCCACATTTTCCCACTCTTTTAAACAGTGATGAGAGGATATTTCGCGAAGAAATGAATTTTTAGATCAAAAAAAATCTTCATAGTTTAATAAGACAAATCAGTCCCTTACCTCGACTGGATAGGTTCTTCCTTCCACTATATATACTGGTGCATCGTCAAAATATTCCGAAAAAATATTAGTTTCCAATGTAGCCGACATGATAACAATCTAAAATTAGAAATTGATATTTATGCAATTCTTAAGAATTTTGAAACAAATTACGGTTAATTGCAAATGATAGAATATGCCAAGAGTCAGTAAATAAAGGAATTAATAAATAACGCAACTTCAATGGATTGGATGTGCTTAACCGCTGTTTATAACAGAGCTTCAATAAGTATAGCAGGACATCTGTATGAATGGAACGTTCATGAGCTTCATCGACAATTACAACGGAATAATGTGTAAGTAATGAATCATAAAATGTCTCACGTAAAAAGATACCATCGGTGCCGTAAACAATCTTTGTTTCATTACTTGTGGTGTTTTCAAACCTCACCTTGTAGGCAACCTGAAATTTACTTTTTACTTACTCTCCGATGGCACTTTCATTTTTATCTGTTAATAACTATTCATTAATTTTAGTTAGACAAATCTTTTGTTCTTAGCAAATGTATTTTGTTGTTAGATATAATGTTGATGTCTTCTCTACGGATACCCTCTTGTCACCGGAAAATGCTTGCATGCTTTCATGAAGTTGTGAACTATGCAGACGGTGGCTTATGCTTCCGACAAGGTCTCTCGTATCAGACAGGTTTCAATTGAAAGGTCAGATGAAATGTGTCCACAGGCAAGATGGACTCGTAGCCTCCTGCAACCATCAGAGAAGAACAACTCTGATCTCAAAACCGGGTAGATGAACCTCGTTTATAACCTGAGGACTTTACTTCTACGGCCATACAGCAAATGAAAACTGACAAGGCAACTTGGGTTGATGGACCTACCTGAAGTTTAGAAGCATAAAGGTCAAGCATTCCATGCTAAATTTCACGCGCTCGTCGTACGTTTTTGGAAAAATAGTGAATTACCATAAGATATCTATGATTCGGTCATCATCACCCTGTACAAGATGAAAGAAGAAAAATCAAACAGCTCAAATTACCGAGGTATTACTTTACTCTCTGTTGCTGGTAAATTGCTTGAAAAAATCAAAAAACAGATTACTACCTCCTATCTCAGAAACTCAATGTGGTTTCAAAGCCAATAAGAGTACCAATGACATATTGTTTGTTCTCAGACAACTGCAAAAGAAACACAGAGAACAGAACAATGGACTCTAAGCTAATAACTTCCGTGAACCTCATCAAAAGTTCTGATACTGTGAGCAAAAAAGGCCTATAACAGATCTTGAAACGATTAGGATGTTTTTTTCAAAAGGATTATGTCGACTATGAGGATAAGCGTGGCCAAGTCATATATGTGATGCACTCTCTGAGTTCTTAATCAATTGTATGAAACGTGATATCGATGGCGTCATCCAACAATCAATGGTATAAA